TTTTTTTTTTTTTTTTTTTAATCACAGAAAACCAGAGCTCGCTATGCTCCATTTGCTTACCAGGGCACAGGTCCAGCTGTGGCTGTCCTCCCCACTGCTTTGTGGCGCTGAGCAGCCCTGATATGCCAGCGCCCCTCACTCCTAAGCCACAGCCCTGCCAGTGCCCCTCACTCCTGACCTGCAGCCCCTGTCCCCACCAATAGCCTTCACTCCCAACCCACATCCTCTGCCCCCAGCCCTGCTGGTACCCTTCATTCCCGACCGGCTGCCTCCCATCCCCAGGCCTCCCAGGGTGTAGGGCAGGGTCAAGTGTGTGGGGCAAGGGGGGTGCCTGACTATAGGCAACACCATAGGTGATGTGTTGGGGGGAATGAGGGAATACATGCCTCCCACCCCAGTTCTGTGTGCCCACAGATGGCATGCAGCTGCAGCCTGGCTAGATGGGCATGCGCAGAAGCCACTTCTGTGGCCCAATGGACAGGACCTGGGATGGGAGGGTGGGGTGGGGTGTGGTGGCGAGACTCATTGCCACAGCAGCCGCCAGGACCCTGCACCAGCCATGTGAGGAGTAACGGACCAGGCAGTAGGGAGAGATTAGGGGTGGGGGGAGCTCCGCTGCCCTCATTTTCTCCTGTTGCCAGCTGCTCACACACTGAGCCATGGCTCTACTCTGCTGCCATGGCTTGGCCAGTGCCACTGCTTCCCCCAGACTGCCTATGCTGCCCCCCGCCCCCCCTTCTGAAGTAAAGCCATGGTAGTGCCAAGGCCATGGCAGGAGATACAGCCATGGCCTGGAGCATGAGCAGCTGGAGGAGGTGTGGGCAGTGCCACCTTCACCCTCCTTCCACCCCCTGGTCTGTTACTCCTCACACTGCTGGCAGCATGGCTGGTGGAAGGGTCCCAGCAGCAGCAACAAGTCTCACTGTTCCACTCTGCCCTCCAGCGCTGGGTCCCACCCACTGGATTATGGCAGCAGCTCCTGCCCGTGCCCATCTGACCAGGCTGTAGCCCCTTGCCTGCTATGGATGTACAAATTTGACACATGACTTATGCCCCCCACCCCCTCCTGTCACGCCTATGCCACACCCCCATAGACCTACCTGACGGAAGCTACAGGAGTTGCTCTCCACCACGCTGCCTGGCTGCCACATGCATGCATGCGATGCATATGCACATGGCCCCTGCCTATGGTCACCCTCCTCCTGCTCCCCCACAAGCAGCCCCTTGCAGGCTAGAACTCTGCCAGCCCCGCATGCAAGGAGAAATCCATGGTTTCCTGTATTTTCCCCCTTTAAAGGAGAAAATCTGTGTTTTTCCATGGCAAACAAAACACAGATCCCTGCTAATGAGAAAGCTAAAGGAAACTTCTGAGACAGTACTAGCCATGGAATTTCAGGTTTTAATCAAAGATCAGTTGTGTTCTGGAGTTGCTATCATTCGATGTGAAAGGAGTTGGTGGACTCAGCTGGGTACCAAGTGGAGTGGTGTCTACATCACATAACCACAAGGAGCATTCTTGATGACTGTCTAACCAGAAGTGGGTAGAACTGAATGCACCATGGAGTCTAGACCATCTTCTCAGCCCTAGATGCAGTACTCCCACAGAAGGGCTACGGCACACTGAAAGGGCAGGGAGGGGTGCTTACACAGCTATTCTCATGTGTACCCACTCCGTGGATAAATCACATATGGATAATCTCCAGGACTATCAATCCAAGCTGTTTCACCACTGCTACACTTACTGAAAATATTTCCAGGAAGAGCCCATTGAATTTCAACTCAGGTTGTGCAACATCATTAATTTTAGTGTGGAGGGAATGGGACGAACAGGAATTCAATACCGTAAGAGAGATCACAGCTCAATGACATTGTAGAGAGCATGAAACAAACTCTAAGTGCCAATTCTCAGCTAACGTAAATCACAATTTCAATTAAGCCAATGGAGTATGCTGATTTATAGAAGCGGAGCTGCTAATATTCATAGGGTGGAATATTTACTAACAGGAATGACATTATAAAAGAGACTTTTGAAGAATCCGTCATTGAGATAAACCCGTAGGGTGTGGTCAAATATACAGAGGCAACAGCAAGCAAACTCAGCCACTCAGCTCAGGCCAAACAAGGCCTTTACAAATGAAAAAGGCCAGGGAGAAGGGGAGAGTAGGTGATCAGCACTTTCTTCTCTGCTATGCCAGGCAAGCCATGCTGAGGCAGATGTAGCTGCTCAATTCTAGCCTTGCTCTGCTTACCAAACAGTTTGGCATCTTCCACAAATTTCTGGGTCCTCCTCCGGACATTTTCAGAATCCGCCAAGGCTTTTCGGTATCGTTCCTGCATGTACAGCAACAGGCAGAGGCATCAGACACGCCAAATGGACTTACTTACAGACTATTTAAAATGTATACCCCTCACAAGTTGCAAGCTCATGCTGGCCACCCAGGTCTCATTAGAAGAGAGAGAGAGAGAGTGTGTACACACATGCACGCACGCACACACACACAGCCTTCAAATTGTCTGGCAGAAAGTGCTCCTCAGCAAAGTGGCAGAAGGACCCTGAGTAGGCTCAGCATCATCATGCAAAAGACCACCAAAATGTTTTTTCATGATCAGGCTGTTGCTTTTCCACCATTCCATTTACAACACCTAGTTGACTCTTTCCTGAAGGTCTTAGCAATGAATTTGTAATCAGCTTATGTTGATAAATTACACTGCTGTCAGGGCAATCAATTCATGAAAAGCCCTGTCTCAGTATCTTGCTTTCCTTTCACCTTGTTTATGCTTATAAGTAGTCACCACTACAACTACACTGAATGTCAGCAAAGGTGGGACTCCTATCATAGATGAACTCCCTCCTAAGGCCTAGAAGTCACCAAGCTAACAGGACCATCACGAGTCCCAGAAGACAAAGACAAAACTA